CAGATCCACCTCTAAAATTAAGAAGACAATATTTTGCTTCATGCTTTGTTTTGAAATTTATTTGTAAATTGACCCACCCTCTTCTTCCAAAAATTACTGACTTAGACATAACTTGCAATACCTCTAAGTACTGGGCACATAAAGAAATTCCATTGATTCTGCAATCCTTTCGCTACTACTTTCCCTTTACGAATTTAACTGTAAAATTTGACAAACTTCCTCTTTTTTCATTTGAATACAGTATACTTAGTTTTAAGCCGAATGTGTTCTTGGATGTGGGAATTCCTAAGGGATCTGCCTCGGCTGTTCCCACCTTTAACGCTTATGTTGATGACCACTTGGTAGGGTTTGAGAGGTTTTTTACAGACGCATCCAAACTGTCAAGCGATAGTTACACTGGAGCTGCGGTGTACTACCAAAACTCCAGAATCATTTTGCAGTTTAAGTGCCCAGAAGAGTCTTCTGTATTTACGGGCGAGTGTGTCGCGGTATTGGAGGCATGCCTGTATGTTGAATCGCACAACATCTATAAGGCTGCTATATTTACTGATTCTCTTAGCTGTCTTAAAGCCCTGCTAAAAGATCCATTCCATAGCAAACTCCATAGCCCCTTGATCTTAGAAATCAAAGAAAGCCTCTTCAATTGCTCCAATAGTGACAAATTGGTCCAGTTGGTCTGGGTTCCCAGCCATAGTGGCATTATGGGCAATGAGTGTGCAGACTCGTTAGCCAGAAGAGCTGCTACTTCCTCAATGGCAGACCAGAAACATATGGTTCACCATCACTATGACCTCCTAAGACTGCCTCAAAGAGAGTTGAGGACATCCTGGCAGGCGGAATGGAACAGGTCCGCACAATTTAAAGGCCGGTACTATTTTTCAGTACAACCACGCATTCCTCCGAAGCCTTGGTTTTTTAATTTTAAAAAGGTGTCCAAACAAGTTGTCTCCACCATATGTAGGCTTCGTATTGGCCACTGCAGCTCACCTGTCTTCTTGAATAAAATTCGGGTACGGGACTCGTCTCTATGCGAGTGTGGCCTGGATAAAGGCAACCTGGACCACATCTTCTTTAATTGTAGTAAAAATAATCCATCCTTAGACCTTTATTCATACCTAACTAAATTAAAAATCCCCCTCCCTATTAACTTTGCATCCCTACTTACCTTTTCCTCCCCAAAACTTTTACAAGCCTTGATGTTTTTCATCCGCTGCAATGGCATCAAACTTTGACCTGTGTACCTAATTTAATGTTGTGATGTTTATTTGTGTTTGTCTACTAATTATCTCTTTATATATTACATACATACTTTATTTATTCGTATTTGTCTGTTTGTTTCAGTGTACTAACCACAATCAAAAGACCCATATGCAGTCCACCTGCTAATTTTGGAAAACTTAATGGTTGCAAATTCCTTTTCTCTTAACCCACGTATTTCCATCGCACTTGACATTGGCAGAATTGTCGACATCGGCACAGTTTGCCATATAATAAGAAGAAGAAGAATATAATATGTCGTATATTAAATAATTTTTCTAAGATATTACTATGGTCTACCCTATCTATGCAATTAATTAATTATGTTTTTTTGTCATAAATATAGCTATTTTAAGAATCGTACTCAAAAGCAAGCGACCTAATGTCTTAATCTCGAAATTTTATTTAAGAATTGTGTAACCACCTGTACCAATTTAATACCGGTATTTTACTGTAAATTTTAGAATCTTACCTAAATCTACTGCACGGCCGCTTTTTTGTAGCCATCCAAACTCGGTCGAGTTATGTACGAATTGCGATGGTTGTCGGTATTTTAATTGTATTTCGTTAATTATTGAGTGTATGGTAATGAAATTTTACATGTGCATAGTTGAATTATTGCACTAATTATTGGAATAGTTTCTATAACGCATTTCCTTTAGAATCTCGTGCAATAAGACTGCATACAAAAAAGTAGTCCAGTCATAGTAAATTATCCCATAGCTCGTTAATTATTAAGAGTACATCACTGACACTGAGTAAGACGTTGTAGATGTTTACAAGGTATGTATAAACGTCATAAATTGGACCCCAGTGCATAAGCACTAAGTACCTACTAGGACCTAATAACCTTATTTTACGTTTATATTTATATCTTCTGAATGATATGTTTTTTTTTAAATCCGTTTTTACAAACAGTATAAACAAATTCAAAACAACGTAAACGGAAACCTTAATATCTTCGCAGTTTATTGACGCACAAATTTCGTTTAAACATACACATTTACCTCACGACATACACTATGTTTTGATACCATTTTTTTTTCCATTTTACCATTTTTGTGCCGTAATACATAATACGTCTAATTTTATATGTTTCTCCCAGAACTCTTCAATATGAACTGTTAAAACTTTACATTTATTTGAAGTCCGGCAATATTTTGGTGCAATATATATATACGCAATTATCAAACACGAAAAAGTTAATGTCAGTTATTGTATCTACATGATCATTGAAAATGGTTTGCTAAATGTTACTATTGAAATCATGTAGTTGAAATTCTTTTATACGAGTGAGTATGTCATTGAAAATAGGGCCATTCCGCAATTATTTAGACTGTTTGTACGTTTAATAAACATTTTGTAATCACATTTTAAGTATCTGTTACTGTCTAAAAAGTAAGCATGTTGCTAGTATATCTAAATACAAAAGGTTATTGAAATTTTCAACTAGCCAATTGAACATTGTTGAGTAGTAAATGTATTTGTATGTCAGGGTACAGATGATAACGTGAGTGTGCTGCACTTTCTTAAGAGCCTCCCTTATATCAAAAATCATGCTGAATCAATCCTGAGTCGATATAAAACCTTCTTCACCTATTAGAATAATGCAATAATCGTCAAATGTGTAGGCTTGCAGTTTTGTTCCTATGTTCCTTAACAGTTGCTTGGTGCTGCCATCTCTTACCAAGTGATGGCACAGGTTATAGTTTCCAGAGAAAGTCTCTTCGGCTATTGGTAAAATTTTGTTTAGTACTATTACAGCTTAGTATACAGATTTTATGTTGTATTCTGCAGGTGCTGCTGATGCTGCTCGTTGCCGTCCTGATGTTTTCCTATCACTATGTCTGTGGTATTTAACATAATTGTGGGTTCTTCGGATAAGTTCGATGAACACGATCATTTGTTCTGTGTTTGGGTGTAACTTATCTATAATATGTATGTAGTATGTTTATCAGCAGTCTGGTTACCATAGTACAGACTGTGTCAAGTTTGGGATCAGGTAGCCGCATGTGAAAAAATAAAAATAATCCTGTGTCCCGGGAAGTTAACAAACATACTTACATGAAACGTACTAAAAGAACACCCAGACTCAGAACAACACTTTGTGGTTCACACAAAGTGTTGTTCCATGTGGGGATCGAACCCACAACACTCAGCGCACGTTTAGGCGCAGAATGTCCAATTCGCCAATTGACTACTCATTAAAACCCATCAATATATTTGTTTAGATACACTTATTTATATGTATTTATATATAAATAAGTATATCTAAACAAATTTATTTGTTAATATGTTTATTTGTTAAGATTTATATTTGTTAAGATGTATTTACATCTAAGAGATGTGTCAAGGTATATAAACGTGTAATTAACACATACACATTTATATCTTACAAATGGTTACTTTTGTTCGCTTTTTATACCTTCTTTATTTCAAGTAACATGGAAGCAAGCGACTTGCATTTTACTTATCGATAGTTTTCCAACCAAGAAGAAACAACAACTGCTAACGCGTTATGCGTAAATATTAGTAAAGGCAATTGATGCAATATATGCCTTCATTGGAGTGGGGCGAGAGTTAGGAAATTAAAAAAAAAGTTTCGTAAAACAACGTGTTTATTTATTATAAAAGCAGATATACTGTCGGAACATAAGACATATAAGCACATTCTATTGTAAACTGGTCTAACTACTTAACTGAAGTTATCCATTAAAAAACTTAGCTCTACATACAGAACTACTTATTTTAGAAAAAAACAAAAAAATTACAAATAAGTAAATATTAAAAATAAACTTTTTCTTAGTAACTAATTAATAAACGGTATACATATAAAGCACATAAGAAACTGATATACCCTGTCTGTTCTACTGTTTTGTAGGTACTTTATAAAAAATGAATTGAAAGCGATTCAAATTCGAAATGTCTTGTTTTAATTTCTCTTTATTTAAAAACTATTATAGTAGGTAGGTATATATATATATTTTCCGTATACATTTTTATTCACTACCTGGAATAACTTCATAAAAGTAATATTACTTTTGAAAATATAAAAATTAAACTATCTACTCGTATGTATGTCGTTGTCACAAACTATATTACCTATGTTAATACATATGTATAAACGACAAAAATTATAGTGCAACTAGAATCTTAAGACACTCTGATCATGATGATGAAGTCTCCTTACTTTTATTGATTACGACATATAGTAAGTAGTATTATAATTTTTTTGACTTGTGACGAGCGTAAAATAGATGATCATTTCTGCCACTTATTTGAATAATTTTGGTCTTCTCAATATGGTTATAGTGCGTTTGTTTCTTATATGACAAACTAATACTTCGTCACAAGGAGGCTTGAGGAAAGCGGATTCAGGAATGCCTGAACTTAACTTCTCAATTACTTCTGACTTCTCAATTACTAACTGAAATTCAAGTTCAATTGAAGACAAGATTCCGGCTGCATTATAATAAAAATCGTAGTCCTAATCTCTACCTACACGGACATTATCATGAAGGTGGCGTCACTGCCTGGAATAATCATAAAAAAAGTAACGTATTTGAAATGTTCAACTGAGTCGTAAGATGACAGACTTAAATTGTTTATTAATATCTACCATAGCTCTTGATCGGCGACCGTTTAAATTTCTATATCTTTTTTCAATAAACAATAGGTAGGTACACTACTTAACACTGAGTTAAAATAATCGGTAGGTTTATTTTGATGAGGCTAGTCTAATTTTAGTTTTTAATTAGGGTGAAATATAAGGCGGTTAAAATGATTAAGAAACTGGCTGTAACAGAATTTGCTCCGCTGAAGCAACCCAACTCTTCAATTTGCACCTGATAAGGTATATTGTACGGGAATCTGCAATTTGCATCTGTGGAAGAAATATACAATTTATTAATTGCAGTGGTATGTTGTTCTGTAAGTTTTGGAAAGCTCTTAAGTAGGTGTAATTAATCGATTATAATTATATTATTTAACAGTGATAATATAAAGCGTAGTGATGATAAGCTGATTATCTCAGTAGTCACAATAATCATCAATACCAATTTAGCACTTATCTCCACATACTGACTTTGAGCTAATGCGATCTAAGTGTTCACTTACAAGTACGAATCTACAAAATATTTGTAGTTTCAGGACAATTTTACTTTAAGAAAAATGATTGGGACAAAATTGGCCAGGGAAGAAACAGATAGACCCTTTCATCAAAGCGATACGAGTATAGACAGATTACTGTGGAGATCAGTAATCAATGGTAGGTATGGCAGCTTGTTAATTCGGATATTTCTATGACTGTAAATAAATTACATGAGCCGTAACATATTTCTGCAGCCTTTGTCATGCAGTAAATATCCTTTACTGTAGATTACTTGATTACTTCATAAAATTAAGATGAAATAATGTTTTGTTGACAGTATTTATAGGACGGTGCCTATGTTGTTGCTCGTGCATTATTGTGAATCGACAACTAATTTGCCCTATTCCTTCGTTAGAAAAAGAGTAGGTGCTACACTAGTGGCACTCTGAAACCGAGACTGTCTGTAGGAACCCAAGGTACAAGACCAAATCTATATAAGAGAAATAAGAGAATTGTATACAGTCGCTTACCTGTGCATGCGACGGCACTAGCAGCAGTAAGAGCAGCATTTGATTGAACGGAAATGTAAAACGGTGGACAAGTGTTGATGGTCCAGTAATTGTCACAGGCATTCTCCAAGTTAATGTCTACGTTACCAGTGGTGGCCAATGTTTGACATGTCACTGCGTTTGCATCCTCTCCTATTTGTGTAATATTTTGCCTGTAAATGCAAAATCACATTTTGGTATTTACCCGATAATTTGGTTCTAGCTATCTAGCCTAACATAGTTATAGTTGAAACACTTTTGTAAATGATAAAAGAGGATAAAGTATCTATTTAATACTAGTACTAGTTTGTCTTTACACAGTTCAAGCGTGATACTTTATTTTTATTAAAGTTAGAACTATTTAATATTATCAGCAGTTCTGTATCTGAGAATCATTTCTGGTTGATACTCGTATATAGTATCACTTGCTGGACTACGAACAGTCGGTAGTCTAAAAAATAAAGTCTATGTACATACTAATTTATATTAAAGAGGATTTATTTTTGCCATTTGCAACAATAGGCTGCATTTTAAAAGTAAACACGTCTATACCCTGGGGTGCTTATATGTATATCGAAAACAAAAAAAATGAAGTGCAAAAATACATACCTGGGGTGTTCAATTACTCGAGAGTGGCAGACAGTAAGTGTTCCCGGGCCACCACCGCTACGATTTATCCGTATTCTCCTATTCTCACTCGTAAGGTAGAAGTAGTTAGGATGAATACTATAGAAGTTAATATAACCTGGTTCTACATTATCATTGAAATGTCTAGAACCAGAAGACCCTCCGTCAAAGTTTGAACCGCACTGAGGATTTATAATTCGTCGACCAGCTGAAATTCAATTAAACCATAGTCAGTTTATTTGTCAATTTATGCCAATGTTTAGGAGAAAGAGATCAAAATATCCTAATACAATAATTATGTCAAAAATACGAAAACAAAGTTAACCGATTTAATGCCTCACCAGAGAAAATACGGTCAAGTACAGGCCTCATGACTACATCGGCATTAAGTCCTCCAGTATTAAGAGAAACAGTATGGATATCGTTAGACATATCGCGTACTAAATTCCATATTGTCTCTTGTTGATTGCTGGAAGTTGCGAAAAGAATCCTTAAGTCTGTAAAAGAAATTATGTATTATTATTAGCTATTGCTGCATATCTATGAGATTGAACACGTACTATTGAGATGTACCCTAAACATATCGATAATTCTAATTCTTACCAGGTACAGTTTCGTTAAGCAACCTTGCTTGCTCCCAAACGGCTTGATTGTTTTGTAAATTACCACTGTTAATCATGTATAATAAAACGGTAGACGCGCCACCCACGTAATTATTGATTCTTTCAAGGTCGAGCTGTTCTTGCATAAGTTGTCGTATATTTGTAAGACTTGTCAGTAGATTCACTCCTGTGAGGACTGTAAAGAAAATTTGAAATGATCAAAAAATTCATGCCTATACTATACATTTCAAGAACTCTAAAACGATACTGGGTATGACCACTTACTTGATGCGTGCCTGGCCGCAGTGTAATTGGCATGAAACTCGGCAATTGAGCCAGTCGTGTTTATAATAATTGACCCATCGAAAGCGCTAAGTAAGGTAACATTTGATCCAAATTTATTGACTTCGATTTCATCAAGTAAGAACGATATAGCTGGGTAGACAGCTTGGTATGGCCATGTCGCGTCCATTGCGATATAAAGGCGTGTCCTAGTGCGAAAATCTCTGGAGACCGTCAAAGTTGTCACACAGTTCATGTCGTTCAAATTGTTAGCTGAAAATATTTAATAAGTTATTTCATAGCCACCCTTCCCTTACCTTCTCACGATAAGAAAAAGGGATAAACTCATTCTTTCATTCTTTTCTTTGATTATTCTTTATTATATTTAAAAAAATGTGGGAATAACTTCAATAATACCTGTATAGGTTTGGAAATTTGCTACAGCACTTTGAACGAGCGCGTCTAGGCCTGAAATAATGGTTCCACGAAGGGCCATATTAGTGTCCAATGCTGCAGCGAAAGCTAATGTTTCCGCCTGTAAGTTAGGGATGTTAGTCTGGGCCAAATTGCCACGGTTGCACGCTCTTATACTGGGATCAGTCAGCAAACCGTTCTGTAATAAAAAAGATACCTATATAATTAACTGTTAAAATACGATTTTGTGGTGACGACTTAAGAATACGAAGTGTCACCTCCCCTATTCATTCCGTGGGTATCACAAGAAGGGAAGCCACAAGGGAAGCAAACTACGCAGGACAACAGCACTGCACACTAACCCAGATGGGTTAGTGTGCAGTGCTGTACGCTGACCTTAACAATAGTATTGTGATATTAATCTGTTGATTTAGCCCTAAGTCTTCCATAGAACAAATAAATAACTATATCATTCACGTACCACCGGACTATAGTACATGTCCAAAAGAGTCGATAGCGGTAGGTTTCCAGAATTTGCTAGTATTGAAGGCATTAAACTTCCAAGGACGAACCCATCAATACCTCCACGGATCTCGGGGTCAGTCATTTCGACGTTAACATAATTGTGCAACATGAAGAACCTTGTGGCTTGACTACTGTTCCAGTTTCCAGCTGTTCCGACTGAAATAATGGAGTTTCCTCTCTCCGTACCTTGAATGAGTACGGCTTCTGCTAAGTCACCTGAATAAAATAAAAAGTACATTTAAAGTATGACCAAGAAGTAACACATTGACCAAAGGCATAAATGCAGCTATTTTTACATTTAATTTTCATAAAATTCCTTGTGCAATTCGTTTTTTTTATAGTAACTTAGTTGAAGCCCGTATGCTAAAAGGCAGCCAAAATTAATTAGACCCGACTGTCAAAGTACTTGGTTGGCTTAGTTTAATTCACTCATTCCTACGACAATATGTCTGTCTCACGAAGACTTCTAATCAAGTGTTAGGCGTGTTGATACAATCAAGGGGATAAAAAAGATACTGTAAAGTATCTAAAGGATAAAAAGAAAAAAAAATACAAATATTTCAAGCCTAAGATTGCTTAACCTATTTAAAACAATTAGCATTTAATTATACTGTCACATTCAAAGGCTCAAATTACAAAGATATAAGAAAATTTTCTTTTTTTTTATTATAAAAGCTTACTACTTTAATGAATAAATTAGTAGATAATAATAATTTGCACCTGATAATGTAGCTGGGAAAAGATTGTTCACATTTTGTGGGACATTCTTGTAGTTTAGATCGGAATCTCTCACTAAGTTCATAATAGGAACTACTTGAGGTGAAGCACCGGCGGCTATGCCAGCGATAACAGTACCAGCTGACACCGCTCCCCATTGAGTGTTAACGACACCGCCTAACAAAGGACAGGTGCTTTGAGACAACTGCTGCCGTTCAGACATAGTGTCGCTAAAGCTGCTGTATTCTACATCGTCGTTAGGATTATGGTTTTGCATTGCACCACTTGGATCGGTTTTCCTGAAAGACATAATACTTGATTGATTACCAAACTTAGTCCATACAAAGTCCTAACGCTTTGCATGACTCATGAATATATGCTTCTTGTGAAAAATTCTATATTGGTTAGATATTTTAGTCATTCCGAATTCTTGTAAGCCAACGACTTCTAATTACATTCAAAACATATTGATTAAAATAATAGTAGTCTTTTCCTCGCGAATCAGACAAATTTAGCAATGCTTGTGGTTAGGAAAACTTATGATTTTGTATGTAAGCAAATTCTTGAGCAGTTCTATTAGTTGTTTGACTTATGAACCAACTCAAAACAATTTTTCTACATAACTCAGTTAAATGTGGTTGTAGTATCTGGGATGGTCATGCATAAATAATGAACGATTATATTATCTAGCTCAAGACATGCGATATACGAAAAGCTACAACAAATATTACAATGACCTTCTAACATAATTTTATTTTGAAAGCTCAAATAGCTATTCAATTACAGTACCTACCCTCGTTAACAGAAATATGAATATATACTCACATCATAGGCTTTATAATTTCTACATCGTCAGAGATCGAGCGTCCAGATCTTAGGGACCGGTACTGGGATAACTGGTTGCAATTGCTTTCGTCACCCCGAAGTCTCATGTCCACAGTAGTAGAGAGCATGTGATGGATTGCGCACTGCAAACGATTGTAAAGCACTTTTTTGTGTCACTGTGATATGTATGCATTTGGTTATTGTTTTTAATAGATAATTGTTTTAAATACAGCTTTTACTGGCAGTAAGTGAGGTTATAAGTAATAACTTATTATCTATTATTTTAAAAAAATACCTAAATAATGTTTCGTGCTAAACATATATATTATGTACATATGCAGTGTAAATAATCTAAAATTTTACTTCTCCAAATAATAAAAACAATGTACCTTCAATTGTGACGGCAGAGTATCGTTGGCCAAAGACGCAAAGTTTCTGGGAATTAGTCGTGTTAGCAGTAGTCTATGACGATGGAAAGAGTGGCCCGTAGGAGAGAAAGGCAATACCATAGTTGAGGCAAACGAGTTCTGGTTCATATGAAATTCTATGCCGTCTTGGCGGTATCTGTGAAAATAATAAGATATTGTTAAAATAACCTACACCAAATAACCTACAACCGCTCCATTCTTAAAGCAGTTTATATGATACATAATATGACTATGGACCAAAACAGTGATCATTAAAGTCATATGAATTAAATCAAGTGCATAGTTGTATACTAATAATATTATAGTAAGAATGTCTATATAGAGATCTTTTGTTGGTTCTGTCGCTAGATAATCCCAAATCTAATCTTCAAGTTACGTAATCCTAAAAGATTTTATGTTCTTAGTTGAGCACGCTAATCTCTAGAACTAGCAGTCGGATTTGAATAAATCTCTTTGTATTCGTAAGCCTGAAATTTTAGAAAGGTTATAAGTAGTTTAAAATCACGCTACGATTTTAAGGAACCGAGTTATGGCCACAAATAAAGGTAAGCCTGTTAGAGTATTATAAAATAGGCAACTCAAATGCTGTACACAAACTTACGTATGAAGGAGTACTGCCGACAGTTGTCTTAAGTCCATGTTTACATTTGGGTTATCTTCTATCTGGCGTATTATATCGATTAGGACTTGTATTGTGGCTGGTGGTAAGTTGTTTCTGTTCAATAGATTTGGATCACTGTAGCACTCGGCCAGGTCATCTGGTACTCTACTCAGAGCGGTCTGCTGAGCCTGGGCGCAGGCCGCAGCAGCTACCAGCACGATTGGTATCCAATACATTTTCACGACTAAAAAAACAAATAGAAAGTAGCAAAATAAATGAATTGATACTGTCACAATATAATAGTTAAATACATGCGTACATATTTATTAAATAATATTCCAGGATAGGCCATATCTTCAGTTTTAGACTAATAAGTATGTACCGATCTCTAGAATGATGATCATAACATTGATGATGGTGATGGTGGTAAAGATGATAACAACAAGTGCCCCAAATGCCAACAAACATATCACGATTAAGTTGATAGGAACAACCACAGAAGATATAAAAGAAGAAAGAACAAGGTTTGTTATGGTATCGGGGGTAATCGAGCAAGCGGGTCATCAGACCACCTAGTGTAAGTTTTTTCACATGAACTCGCTCTCGACAGCGAGCGCGTCCGGTGTTACGATTGGTGCAGATTTCAGTGCTGACCAATCGCAGCGCCAAACGAGCTCACCGTGACGATCGAGTAGATGTGAAATAAAGTTACACTTGGGCCTCTGATGGTAAGTGAATAAAGCTACCTATGAATACTTGCAACTAAAGTGACACACGTGTGTTGCCGCCCTTTGAGAATTACGGAGGTTCACGCTTCTGGTAACCTCGCGCTCTCGGTGAAAAGCAACGAAAGTTTGCTGAACTCCGGTTAATAGGTGGTCGAAGGTGGAGACCTTGTATCAGTTCGGCCAAGCTGGTTCATATATATCGTGTCATGGCCAGCCCCGGATCTACGATTTTTTCGAACAGGGGCAGAAACTTAATAGTGGCGACCTCTCACCAGCGTTTGAGATAACTTACTTTAAAAAACTTACAAATATATACTACTTCACTTGTAGTGTGGGCCTGTGTGACACCTTTTTCTTAGAAGTCGATGGTGAGCCAACCAGGCTTCCGTATGCTAGGCGCTTCGTGGAGCAAGTTTTTTTTTTTAATCATACTATATTATGATTTTGGCGCCTACTGTAATTACCGCCCGGGGCGGGTGCTCCTCCCCCTTCCTAGAGCCGGGGTTGATCATGGCTCTACCTTGGGGCATTCACGAGTGGGATACGTGGAAAAGATAATTTAAAAAATCCACTTAATCTGTTATAAAAAATTACTAATATCGTTTTACTCTTTCAATTCCTAATTATTTTCATTTATACGTTTTGAAGTCCTATTACCTACTAATATTTCAAATAATCATTTTTAATTGTAATATCAACATGTGACACATGTTTGTGTAACAATGCTGATAACTAATCTAGGGTATCTGAAGGTTAATACTCAAATATTTCTAAATTATTTTTAGGCTACCTGAATGTGTTTTTACTGAACATGGGGCTCAATCACTTATTGCAGTGGTGCAGGTGCAGTGCAATTTTTGTTATATCAATCATAACAAAAATTGCACGATAATATGTATATTTTATATTTAATTAAAGGAGATGTTCATTTTCCATTAACCTTCTTGAATCCAGGGGTCTTAATACCAGCTTAAATTTAATTGAATTCATTGCAAGTTCAGGTGGAGCCTGAACTTTCTGAGAGAGAACGAAAGAGAACATTATAGCACAAATCTGAACTTAAAACACACCACCCTACACATAGGATTATTTCAACTTCGTTTAATATCTCTAAATCTGCATGAGGAGTTTTCGTTTCCTACTATTTTGACTTGATTGCTTTTTTTCTCACTTAAGTATCACGATAATCTCGTGTCAAAGTCGGTTAACTAGACAGTTTGCTTATTGTCCGGGAATACAAATTATCTTTTAGCCTAAATTTAAGGTTCTCGCCTTAGTGCATGAAAAGAAGACAAAACTTTACTTACAAAGACAACATTTTTCGAATTTCTTACAGGTTCTTAAATCGTTTATAACTATAATGAATTTGAAGAAAATGCTAACCAATTTCCCTAACATTAAGTGATTTACAATATCTATTCTTTTTATAATAAGTACCACCAACTCGTTTCTTTTTCATATGGGTCACAGATTGTGCAATACCCACGACTTGAAACACCAAAATTATTTTGCCGGCCTTTCAAAGTGCTGAGATCTGAATTAAGAAAAAGTCTATAGCTCAAACTCAGACTTGTTTAGTAACTTTTCTTCCAACGAGCATGTCATTCCTTCAATAGGACTTCGATAGACAACCATATCTAGTGGACCTCTAAGTTCACTATAAAGTGGTAGATGTGTATCAATGTTAGAACTTGGGTTCTAAAATTCCAATCCATTAGAATGAAGAGATTCATTAGAATGAATAAAGAGGCTTCTGACTCGCACAAATTTCATAATTTCACCCTTAGTCACCTACATAGCAAATTTATTGATTTTTCGATAATGTTCCTCACTGTATTAATAAATGAACGGTACACGTCCTGTTCTAGATATAACGAGCCGAGATATGATAAAAATATCGATGACGAATACTTGTTTTATCTGCGATTCTAGGGAGTGTTCGAGGATTCGAAATTTTAATTTTTATAAATATGGACAATTGAGTCATTAACATTCGTAGACAAACGGCATTTCCGAACCGATACGACCTGCAAACCTTAAAGTAAAGAGCGTACTCCTTCCTAAAAGGCCGGCAACACGTTTGTGACTCCTCAGTTGCAGATCATGGGCGGCGATGGTCACTATCCCTCAGGTGACCCGTCTGCTCATCTGCCTCCTTTAACATAAAAAAAAAATCATGAATCTACAAGACTGGTGGGTTCAAAAGTTATAAATTTGAAAAAAATAGATTTTCCATATTACTTAACTTTACATTAGCAACGTCCAAAACTTTAGTAAGTAATAGGAACATTCTTTTAGAATACTCATTTCAAGGTAAACTACTTATAATACTCTGCAATGGCAATCACAATTATCCACTACATTATTTAAAAAATAACCTTATTAGATAATGTACTCTCAAATCAGCATACGCAATCGAAGTTAGAAGGTTGTCCATTGCGATACACCCGTTTGTTTGCTTGCTCCACTTTTGATAAGGGCAGTCATTACAGTAACAAGTACCCAGTTCAATGAATTCGTACAAAGTGTTTCACCGTTAAGGTGTGTTTTACGACTGTTGACGATACTACTTACTTACTTACTTTGTTGTTTTCTAATCATGAGGAAGCAAGTAAAGGACCAGTAATTGAGAAATTATAGAACGATGAGAAGTAGGTACTATATTAGACAACTTTTTAACTTTCTGCCTTGTTTTTGCCTTTTTTGGAGCCAAGTTTCATTTACAGTAATTAATCGGCGCCCAAACTCGGTTTCATTGCGCCTAAACTGCGCCAACAGAGCGCTGAAAATTTTCATTCGAACACGTTTTTGGTCTAACGTGAGCAAACGCGGCACCCAACGCGCGGACAGTTTTCTCATGTCTAAATGTTGATTTAATATGTGACAAACACGTTCTTTTGACATGTTCATAACCTCTGCTATCTCTCTCACTTTAATTCAGCGGTCGTCTAGCACCATTTGGTGAACTTTGGCGATGTTTTCGTCGGTAGATGCAGTTTTTGGACGTCTCGAACGTTCATCGTCTCCCAAGCACTTACGGCGATGTTTAAATTTAGCTGCCCATAATTTCACTGTGGTAAATGATGGTGCAGAGTCCCTATACACAGAATCCAACTAATCTTTGATTTTCTTAGGCGTATTGCATTTCAAAAACAAATATTTAATGACAGCTCGATACTCGATTTTGTCCATTTTCATAAAAACACATCAACTCACTCAAACGACTGTTACATAACAACTGCGAGTCCAAAATGGCTGAAACTTTAGCGAGTAACTGTCAACAGATAAACAACGAAATTCTCTAGCTTTTATTCACGAGTGTTGCCATCTTCGTGTTGAGGTCTGAAACTTTTCAAACCAGCTGTGTATGTATGTTAAAAATTATTATTTATACACATTTTTAAGAACTTAATAACGAAATTTGTCAAATTCAACATTTTCGTATGAAATGAATGCATGCATGAATGAATTATAAATGCACAAAAAAACTAAATTTAAAAAAAGTGTCAGTATTTGCAAAATACCTACCGTAATCTTCAAAGCAAAGTTATGTGAAATTATAAAAAATAACTAACTAAACTCGTATAAATATATAATATAAAATAAATGTATATAAACGAGTGTAAATATAGGAAATACACAGTCACATGCACTTAATGAAACTTATCATCGTCATTATGAAAGATACTTGACTAACAAAAGACTACTTACTACTTGTTCTACAATATTCAGTCAAAAAGGCATTGATATAATACTTACATAGATGAGTAATTACCGCCTAAAATCGTTGCTACTGCACATCTGTCCACAGGCATATGCGTAGCAAACGTCAATTCAGTGTTCAATGTGGCGTCAACCGAGTTGAACATAGCGACGCATGACAGTAACAATCGCCAAAATGGGTAAATGCGTAGTGAAAGAATGCGATTCAAGGTCACAAAACATTAATAAATCATGCGGAATTCCTTTTCACGTGTAAGTTTATGGTTTTTGTATTGATAATATCGTAAATAAGGCTATAATTGAAATAAAACACTGATAATTGTAATTTAGAATCAGTGTTACCATTAAAAAATCATTTTGGTTTTCCCACATTAGTGGGAGAATTTATAATTTATGAAATAATATGCTTTATACTGTTTTTAAACATTTTGCCCATAATAATAAAATATAGGAAGAACGGTAGTTGTTAGGGCTGGACCGATCACTTTTTTTAGGGACCCGTTCAACGTTCTTGCTTGGTGCTGGAGACTTTTGTACAAAAGAATTAATTCATTGTTTTTCTTAATTTATTATCAATTTTAAATAATAATTGTACAAAAAAAAAATAATAATAAAAAATGTTTATCATAAAAATAAAAAATAAAATAATAAAATAAATATAAATAAAAAGAAATATAAAATATAAAATAATATAAATAAAAAAAAATAGTTTTTTTTTATTTGTTTTTTAAATTATAATGGAATTTGCAATACACCCTGGGGATTATTTATTATCAGTACAAGTTGATCATTCACTTTTATTATTAAATGCTATTATTTTTACATACGTAAAAATAAGATTGTATCATGAAAGTTAAATATCCACACAAACTTATAAAAAAGAGTCTAAAAGACAATTGTATACAAAACTGATGCTTCACAGCGCAGTTTGATTTTACACTGAATATAAACCCTTTTAACCAAATATTTCCAGTTAAATTATTATATATACCTATTCTATTCAATTCGAAATATATTATTTAGAATATTTAAATTAATTTATTTCATTACAAAATTGTTTTAAAAAAAAATTGTTTCTTAGTTGTTATGGGTAAAATTTCATACGGTAGTCAACACTGGCCCACCATCGTAAAGTTATGTCTTTGTCTTTGTCTAATCCGAGCGATGGTATTGTTCTTGTCTCGCGTGTAAATGAGACATAAATATGTTTACTGTCAAATGTTTAGTGGTATCAAAGCTACGTCGTCAAAGTTCAAAAGTGGTTACACTTTTTTCGACGTGTGCTAATGAGGTTTGCTTCGTGTTGTTTTAACTCAATGCAAAAAGGTATCGGGAATGGATGATTTGTTTATGGTTCCAAATTCAAATCTTTGTTTTTTTTTTTGTTGTAGTTAGATTGGTACAATTGTTTTCCATTTGTTATATGATATCTAGTATGTATTGCGAATTTCATAATAGACAAAAACATCGAACAAAGAGTATGTCTTAAATTGTGCATCGCCAATGGAATTTTGTGTTAGGAGTCACTGAAAATGTCACAGAAGGCTTACGGTGAATCGACTTTATCAAAAACACGTGATTATGAGTGGTACGAAGCGTTCAAAAGCGGTCGAGATGTAATGGAAGATTTGGCTCGCTCTGGTAGGCCATCAACGTCTGCAACTGAAGTTAACATCGCAAAAGCGAAGGAAATAGTGACTGAAAATCCTTATTCAACTTTGAGAGAGATAGCCGCCGAACTTTCTGTATCTCACGAGACGATCCGTATCATTTTAACTAATCATTTGGTATGAAACATGTTACCGCTCGGCTAGTCCCAAAAGACCTGAATTTTCTCCACAAACTCAACCGCAGGAGAGTCCCTGAGGATGCTTTGAATTTGAAATACTAGAACCTGGCAGTCATTCCTGTAGTTTCATAACTATTATAATTATAAGTAATCATCGTATGTACTCTTCCTTATCTTAATCGCATATAAACGAAATTATGTGAATCTATTTTTCCTCGAAACAGGTATTTTTATCGATATTCGATATTCCTGAATAAGGTAAACTATAGATAAGGATCTATAGTTTACCTTATTCAGGAAACTTATACCTATGTATATGGTAATCTGTGCCGATATACCTATGTAGGAATAGGTACGTAATTACCCATCTAAGTATTTCGTTATTGAGATATGTATTGATTTTGATTTTTCTATAAAAAGCTTTGATCGTATACTGAGAACATTGGTTTAATAGAGAAAACAAAAATGTAGACGAATAACGATGTTAAAAAATGGACAATTGTTTTAATGAACCAATGACACGATGAATACTATTTTGTATATTTTGTTGCTAATAAGGATAAAACGAAGGATTAAGAAGTTCTAGATGTGTGTGACATACTCTTAATCGTCAGGTAACTAAGAAAAATTATAGAGCATATATCAATAAGCAGACAAATATGTAAATGTCAAAAGAAAACTAAAATTAATAGAAATCGATTCATTCAAAAAAATCAGTCACAATGAGAATCTTCCTTTTTTCAGTCGGTTTAAACAATTAAGTGTGGAAATCGAGTATTCAGCAGGTACTTTTTTATAAAACATGCGAAGTTATCGACGTATAGATAAAGTTAAATTCCGCTTATGACCAACCTCTATCCCAAAGAGCGTCAATTCATACGTATGTTTTTAAATATCTCCATATAGTAGTAGTGTTTACTGCAAATTTTACTGTGATTGTTGTAGGTAAATAAATAATTTGAAAGTATATTGAACGTGAAACATCGCTTTATTTGGACTGTTATTGTATTTTCCATTATAATCTAACACAGAACACGACACCATTATTATTTTTTTGTTGTTTACTGGTACTGTTATCTCTTATGTGATTCATCTCTTTAAATATAGAAATAGATAACGATGGATACGAGGAGATAACAATGGGGCACTATTTTGACAGGAGACTAAAGGAGACAACAAATTGAAAACGTGTAGTACCGTAGTCTCCAGTTGTCTCCGTAGTTCAAGGTCCGAGTTTGTCTATATCCTACACCAGCTTCTTTTTGTGTAGTGCTTGGTATGTTCTTCTATACATTTTTCTTCGTTTAAATAAAGATTTTTGATTTAAATATTAGAAGTAAGAGGAGCTGTATTAACTAAAGTAACCAAACACGTGCGTTTCGGGTCACGTAAAATGTAAGGTTCTGTAGTTTATAAATAATTACTCGTTGTGACCAGGTAACAACTTAACCAAGAAAAAAGTTTGCGTGTCTGTGATATTCTTCCTTATAAAACCATTATATTAATAATAATAATAATATTGTACCACATTCAAACAACGCCATCTAGTCCCAAATTAATGCAGCTACAATGTGTACTAGAAAGCTTATATAAGTAAATGTATAGTTTTTTTTAATGTTAATACATTATACATATTTTATATGGAAACACCCAGACCAAATCCAACATTAAATGTTCATGCACACAAATCTTTGACTTGAGCGCGAAACGAACCCGCGACCTTTTCGGCCGATCCGACCGTCATTATTTACTAGATGTGCCTCCCGGTTTTATCACCATCATCATCACATTAATATTCCACTGCCGGACAAAAACCTCTCCTTAGAAAGGAGGTTTCTGTCTACTTTACCACGCTGCCGCGCTGGCCGGACGGGTTGGTATCGGACCCGATCCGCCGCCGGCGAATCGGGCGGCGGAGGCGCGCTTTCCTGCGCCTCATGCCGCCCTGAGTGTGGCCGCGGGTGGACGGGGTGGGTTTCCCCTCCACCCGCATTAGTTTGGCCAGCCGCGAGCGGGCGGCGTCCGCGTGTGCCGGACGTCGCCTAAAGAGAGGTTAAAATTTTGAGACGGAGCCCGCACCAGGAGCGGGCAGGCGCTAGGAGGGGTCCGGATGTCTTAATAACAGCTGTTTCCGGATCCCTCCTATTACAGGCGCAGAGTAGCACACCGTGTGGTTTTAGTCGCTCCGAGTCCGACATACCACCCCGCCGCAAACCCCGGTGGGGTGACGGTCCGAGGGGATTTCCACACGTTAAAAAAAAAAAAGGGTTTGTGTCATGTTTGCCTTCTTTTTGCAGTGCTGTTGTTCTGCTTAGTCGGCTATTACGACTACCACTGGATTAATAGGGGTGGTCATACACGAGGTTTAAATATATTTCAATCGGAATAAAAAGCCGATGTGTTAATGCAGGGTGTCTGCTACCTCAATACCAAATTTATCAAAATTGGTGTAGCCGTTTGAGCCTTATAAGTAAAATCCATACAAACACGCACACTCACAAACTATCGCATTTATAATATCAGTGTGATTACCATCATGTTAATTTTACAGTTTTTAGACGGAGGAGATAGGAGGGAGAGGGACAAACCCTTAACTTCACTAACGACGTTTAGATTCCCAATGGGATCAATAAATCGATAATTATTCCTCAGACGGTAGTTCTATGTTTCTGAAAGACATATCTAACGATTCCGCACACTTTGTTGAAAAAAAGGCTATATGCACTTTTCGTATCTATAGGGATAGTAGGCAGAATAATCGGCACTTTACCTGTAGGGAGATATCTTCAAACAAATTAATGTACTACACTTATCTATGTAACGTTAAAAGCTCTCAGACCAAAACTGGGTAAACACTACGTTTGATTCTTAGTAACGGAACGTTGAGTCTATAAGGCGATATCATAGGTTTACATAACTGCAACCAATATGTTCCAAAAAAATAAGTAATATAGTATAATTATCAATCTGTATCTTATCTGATTAACGAACGATGTGAAATATTTTCATACTTTATAATAAGTATAGGTATGTATATATATACATATTTTAAAATAAATGTGTTATAGCATATAAATAGTTATCCGCTTAACAAAGAAAATGTCAAGACACTTATTTAGTTCTGTACACTACTTTAATATGAATATCGTTACACAAAAACATTTTGAGAGACTTACATTCAAGTCGTACAATTGAGCTGCTTTGTATCAAGAGGTAATTTTCTTACACCGCACTTTCCACCATGTAGAGTATCACATGTCCAAAAGGCCTTTATTCTATACAAAAAAAATATCAATAAACACAACACGGAGGGCACAAAAAATGCTGCTATTCTGTAAAGGCACGCCCTACACTAGCCGTGTAAAATAAAAGGTGCCAGGTATACGATAAGATAATGAAAGCAGGTCTAGATAAATTTGTAACAAATGATAGTCACACGACGGCGATATCTGTTTTCGCTAGCGATTACGGCGATAACGCGCGATTAGAGTGGAACTTGCACATACTGATCCAATGAATACTATTTTCACGAACACGGATAGGGTAAAATTATTGGTACTGTGATTCACAATTAATACTTCGTAAATAGAATTCTGTTCTTGAGTTTAATCAATTTTAGCTAATACAAAACTTGATACCTAAGTATATTATGTATTTATATGGCAATAAAATGGTTAAGAATCTCATCGCAAAAGGCACTTTTTTTTAAATATTCGAGATGATAATTTAGAATTCTCATAGAAAATGTTATCATGAACTTTTAGTTTAAGTTTTAGTTTAAACAGTTCTACATAAATAATGAATTATTAAAAGCGTGAGGTGCTAGATCTCAATTGTTGTAAAAATATTTTACTAACAGATATTGGTAAGAGTAAAGTTATTTCATTTTAAAATCCCTTTAAAGAAAGTTGAACCGACTTCTAACAAAGAACACTAAAACCTAACAACAATCGATGTTGATTTGCTATCATTTTTGTAGAGTTACGTTATCTATCTCCGAAACTCATCATCAGATCTATATGAAATTTAAATGGGACCATTTCGGATAAACCTCTTTCGAACAAAAAAAAATATTTAAAAAATCCGTCTATATATGACGGATTTATACCCAAACGTACATAAAAAAAAAAAAAAAAAATTGAAAAATTTCAAAAATTGCTCATTTGTAGAGGGCCGTAATAGTCACGAAATTGTACAACGAATCATTTACAAAATAAATTTAACACAATATACGCAAAATTATTTGTCATATAACAGCAAAACCTTTAAAATTGCCGCAACCTCTAAGAGGGATACAACTTCTTATAGTTGTCAAAACAAACTTCAAACCATCAATTCATTTCATTCAATAAAATCTAGCTATAATATTAATAATCAATCACACAAGGGTTTAATCACCTACTATTTTCATGCCGTAGGAAAACCTAAAGTATGTACTAAGTCTCAACCGCGTAAGGGTACAATTCCCTACTACTTTCAGGCTGTAGAAAAACCAAAGATGCGGGACAATAACAAAAAAGAGTTTTTTCGTAAACAATAGTAGTGATACCTTCTCGGTTTTTCATCAAAATATTGCTGGAGCTCTGAATAAACTACAAGATCTTGAGATGGCTATTCATGAACTTAACGAATCAGGTTTAAACATTGAAGTTGTTTGTTTAAGTGAACATTTTATAAGTGAAGGTGAGGAAAATTATATGTTGTTGAATGGGTATAAGCTTGTAGCATTTTACTGTCGAAAACAACGTCGAGGTGGCACTTGTATACTTTGCAAAAATAGGTATCAGTGCACTGAAATAACTGAGATTAAAAATATGAGTATTGAGAAACAATTCGAAATATGTGGTGTTGAAATTAAAAACAGTAACGTTGTTGTAATTTGTGTATACAGAACTCCGAACTCAAACATAAACATATTTTTTGAAAACTTTGAAAAATTGCTTATAAAAATACAACATAAAAAATGTAAAGTTGTAATTGCCGGGGACTTTAATATTAATTTTTTGCAAAATGATAGTAATAGCATTAAATATAATGAACTCATCTTTAATTATGGTATGCAATGTCATATTACCGAGCCGACACGAGCAAATAAATGCATTGACAATATTGTTAGCAATATTCCAACAGCGATTGGAAAAACACATAACCTTTGTCTATCAGATCACAATACTGCTCAAGTTTTGGGATTCAAGTGTCAAAGTATTAATGCCATAGCACATTATTTTGTAAATAAAACTGATCTTAGTAAAGAAAATATAAATAAATTTGTTGAATGTATAAGTGGTTTGTCCTTTTCAGAAATATATGAAGTTTCTCAAGCCAATACTGCGTTTGATAGGTTTCATAATTTATTAATACTATTTTATAAGCTATGTTTCCCTATCATTAAAGTTAAAAAAATCTACAAAAGTAATAATATAAAATGGCTAACTAAGGGACTTAAAATTTGCAGCAAAAATAAGAGAAAACTAAGATTTTCATACTACAACAATAGAACTGTCGAGAATAAAAATAAATTTAAAACGTATTCAAAAATACTAAGAAAGTGCATTAATCAATTACAATCAACCAGTCACAAAAAGTATATTGCCTACTCTAGTAACAAGTGTAAAGCTACTTGGAATGTTGTTAAACGCAATATTGGTAACCAACCATCCCAGGCATGTATCGATACGATTGTTAACAATAACGCTACAATAGTTTCGGGACCCCATATAGCTAATGTATTAAATAATTACTTTATTGAAATTGTAGAAAATAATATAATACAAAATGAGAAAATCACTTCCACTTGCATCAACTGTAATAATTTAAATAATAATAACAATGAACATAGTATATTTTTAGAACCCACAAATGCAATAGAAGTCTACAATATAATTAAATCACTGAAAAACACTAAATCGTCAGGCCATGATGATTTCACCACAGAACTAATTAAACCCATATCTCAGTTCATATCAGAACCATTAGCGTACATAATAAATTTATCACTTGAACAAGGCTGTTTTCCAGAGAACTTGAAGCTATCTATAATAAGACCTTTACACAAAAAAGGTTCCAGAACTGATAAAAATAACTATAGGCCAATAGCCCTAACCTCTATTTTTTCTAAAATTTTTGAAAAGGTAGTGAATAAAAGGCTGATTAGTTTTTATAATAAATATGACGTATTAGCTAAAGAACAATTTGGGTTTCGAAAGGGTAAATCTACTCAACATGCAATATTTTCTCTAATAAAATCTATAATTAACAACATAAATAAAAAAATACCATCTTTCGTTATATTTTTAGATTTAAGCAAAGCGTTTGATTTTGTGAGTCACGATGTACTAATTCAAAAACTGGATAAAACTGGCGTAAGAGGTATAGCCTTACAATGGATGGATTCATATTTAAGCAAACGAAGACAAATTACAAGAATAACCAAATTCAATAGTGGCACTAATTGTTTACAATATTTCGATTCGGAACCTAGGTTTAACTATTACGGAGTACCGCAAGGGAGTATTTTGGGGCCATTACTATTTCTTATTTACATCAATGATCTCCCTCAAGCAATGCAAAATCGCAAATCTGTGCTATTTGCAGACGATACTACAGTGTTAATAAGTGGTAATAATTTAAATTCATGTGAACATGAAGTAAATGAGACACTTCAGAATATCATCAAATGGCTTGATACGAATCATTTAAAAATTAATATAGATAAAACAAAACTTATTCATTTCAGAACAATAAAAACAAAACAATTTGATATTTCAGTTAAATTTAATGATCAAGAAATAGAACAAATACAGAGCACAAAATTTCTAGGTGTTACAGTGGACGAACATCTGACGTGGAAGTATCACATAGAAAACGTTTGCAAAAAGATTAATAAGTTTGTGTTTGCATTAAAAAAAGTCAAAGAGGCTGCTTCAAGGGAGACTGCTTTAATGGTCTACCATGCATATGTTTGCTCCATAATTCGTTACGGCATTATTGTTTGGGGTTACTCATCAGAAATAACGCGAGTATTTTTAGCACAAAAGAAATCGCTTCGTGCAATATTCGGTTTGAAATGGACAGATTCATGCAGGCCTGTCTTTGTATCTCATAATCTGTTGACCGTCCCTGGCATATTCATCTATGAAGTAGCTAAATTCGTGAAGTGCAATAAAGAGCTGTTTGAAGTTAAGGACAATACCAACAAACGTAAAAATACTCACTCGTATTTAAAATTACCAGTACCTCACCTAGAAATTTTTAGGGTGAGCTGTGTTTACATGGCACCACTTATCTATAACGCGTTGCCGGAGAATATTGCAACTCTCCCTTATCACAGATTTTGTACTTCATTAAAAAATTGGCTAATAGCAGAGTGCTTTTACTCCGTCAATGATTTTTTAAAAAAGTACTCTACTCAGTCATATCACTTCAGAAATGCATTAGTGTAGTAATTATTTTTAATGTGATTTTTGATATTTTAAGTGCAATGTAATGTAATTTTATTTTTATTTTATTCATAATTTTACCTGTACAATTTTAAAAATGTTTGATTTTTGATATTTCAAGTGCAATGTAATGTAATTTTATTTCATAATTTTACCTGCACAATTTAAAAATTTGCATGCTATCTAAATATAGCGAAATGTGTCTTGTGCTTTAAACATTGTAAACCACCTACTGTGACTACCACATTTTCTGCAAATAAATATATTATTATTATATTATTATTATTATTATTATTATTATAAAAAATATAACTATTACTATTGATAACCTCCTCCTTTTTTTAAGTCTGTTAAAAATTACAAATAAAATGTATTTCTGTTACCAAAAAGATACGACGAGGATGGGATTCGAACCCACGCGTGCAGAGCACATTGGATTAGCAGTCCAACGCCTTAACCACTCGGCCACCTCGTCACATGACGTGAAATGTAAATTTATTGATCACTTTAAAATGAAAAGTTAATTATAATTTTAAAATTTAATTTAATCAATAACGTAATAAACTAACAATCCCGAAACACGCAAGACAAGATAAATATTTATGTGATTTTAAAAAACCATTTGATTAATTGCAGTGCCATCTACATACTTTCGATTGCATGAATAAGGTACAGTATTAGATAAGCGTAATATTACCGTTCAAAAATTATGCATCATTGTAACAACCAGAAACAAGTTAATAAAAAATATAGTTTTTTAACAGGTCCAATTAATAAAACACTTCATTTTTACGTAACTATCTTCAGGATAGCGACATCTATCAACAGTGTGGTTATACTAGCTTGTTTGAACGGCCCGAACAAGTAGATAAACTAAATGTTTTCATAACAATTAATAGATGGCGCTGGTATGCTTACTGTTGTTTTTACTCTAACTTGTTTTTTTTTTAATAAATAATCCGGAACGAGCCAATTCTGATTGTTTGTCAAAAGATGTTAATACCATGATTCGGTGAATGAATAATGTCAATATTCACGTCATTTATACTTTTGTTTCTATACAAT